AGCTGAGATCCAGGAAATTCTGATTGAAGTCCTTTGATATGTAATTTTCTGTGAATTTGAAACTCCCATCTGCCACATCAATATTTTCATACAAGCACACGTGTTGGTGTGCTGATGAGATTCTACATTAATGGCTGGGTGATTGGGATATTTGCACATCATTACCCTACTCTAAAAAAATATTTGAACCTTTGTGTTGTGGAGACTATCAACTTCCATCCAGTTTTGATATTTAAGGCTTGTTGTGGATGTCACCAGAATCAATAGGTCCTCAGCTTTCTGGGCACTTGTAGGAGATGAGTAGGCTGAGCCTAAAGGTGGAGTTAAACATGTTATCAGTTTGAAATTGCTGTGGAGCCACAAGAAACCCAAGTCCAGGCCCCTGCCCCCGCCCCCGTGAATTCTGTTGACCCTTTACCTATCACCAATTTGACTTGACTATTATAGACCAGATTATTTTGTATAGGTACCATGTAATAATTTTTGGGTGCTTTAAATTCACTCCAGATCTTAGTTATTTGCATTTGACAGCACTTTAATGGAGAATAAGGACAGTTGAAACAGGATGACATAGGACACAATAATCTGGCGAAGAAATCATTAAACCAACCTTCCTTCCTTCCCTCCCTCCCTCCCTCCCTCCCTTCTTTCTTTCTTTCTTTCTTTTTTCTTTTCTTTTCTTTTCTTTTCTTTTCTTTCTCTTGGTAGCAAACAGTAACAAAAAAAAAAAGAAGAAGCCCCAAGCAAACAATAAACTGAAGAAACCCACATAACAGTAAAACAAGCTCCAAATGTAATTATGAAATGCAGAATATAAAATGGTGTCTATGCAGTGTACTATAAAGAACCAAAAAGAGATTTCCACCTGTAGGGAATTGCGAGGTGGGAAAGTCAGATCTTCACAGTTTTCCTAAAGGCAAACTGAATTGCGGCCTGTTGCATATTTTGGGGAGAAGGGGAAGTTATTGATAACAATTCTAAAAGCCGATCACCTCACTGTCCTACATTGTCATTTTATTACATAATTGCAGTGGCCCAGTCTCCAGTAAATTCTGAAGATTGCAAAGGTAGGTTGGACTGAAAGGTGTTTACAGGTAGTCCTCAACTTGCAACCATTCATTTAGCGACCTTGTGAAGTTATAGCAGCACTGAAAAAAAGCAACTTACAACTGCTCTTCACACTTACGACTTGCATTCCTACGGTCACGTGATCAAAATTCAGGCACTTACGTAACAACTGGCATGTATTATCAACAGTGGGATCACATTTTGCAACCTTCCCAGCTAATTTATAACAAGCAAAGTTGATGGGGGGAAGACAGATTTGCTTAACAATTGCATGATTCACTTAACAACTGTAGCAATAGCACTTTAGACTTATATACCGCTTCACAGTGCTTTTACAGCCCTCTCTAAGCAGTTTACAGAGTCAGCCTATTGCCCCCCCAACAATCTGGGTCCTCATTTTACTGACCTGGGAAGGATGGAAGGCTGAGCCAACCTTGAGCCTGGTGAGATTTGAACTGTCAAATTTCAGGCAGCTGGCAGTTAGCAGAAGTAGCCTGCAGTACTGCACTCTAACCATTGTGCCACTGCGGCTCATAATTGACTGTAACTACAACTGTAACTAAAAGTTGTCAAATCGGGCACAACTCACTTATCAACCCCCTTGCTTAGCGATGGAAATCGTGGTCTCAATTATAGTCATGACTTTAATGACTATTGTAGGACTAGCTCAGGGGTCTGTAACCTTAAATACTCAAAGAGTCATTTGGACCGTTTCCCACAGAAAAGAAAACACAGGGAGCCACAAAACCTGGATGGGCGTGGCCAACTCGATGTCACTCACTTCAACCAGTCACATGACACACACATACACACCCAGCCACACCTACCCAGCCAGTCATTAGGGCAGAGAAGTAGTTGTTAAAAAACACTGGGAACCACACAATCCTTTTGACATATCTCTCTCTCCCCTCCCTCCCTCTCTCTCTCCTCTCTGTATCTCTCTGTCTCTGTCCTGGCCACTTCTCCATCCCCTGCTGTCGCCCTTACTTTTTCAGGCCAGGCGAGGAGTGACTGGGAGGGGAGGGCGAGAGGCAGGACCAGCCAATGGTGGGATCACCTGACAGGGAGCCACAGCAGAGGCCCAAAGAGCCGCATGTGGCTCCGGAGCCGCAAGTTGCTGACCCCTGGACTAGCTGTACAGTCGGTAGTCTCTAGGTTGACAGATGTTCTCTTCTCTCCATGAAGAAATGCCATAGTAGGGAAGCCCGACCTCATCATTCTACAAAAGAATGGTGAATACAAAAGAATTCCTGCTTTGTTCAGTCATGCCACAAACTCTACTCCCCATATATCCAGATGTCACCCATGATCGAGCACCTGTATATCTCAGATCCTTACCTCCTAACCCTTCATTCTCCATTGGTCTTGTGTTATCCACCATAATCCAAGATAGAATGGCTTTTTCATTTACGGTTAGCCATCGTTACATCTCCAGCTCATTATAACTCTGACATAACTAAGCTTTTCTGCTGCATATGGTGCATCTGGGATAGGCAATTATGTAGTGATGTTTGATTTATAGCCTATCTTAATGTATTCAACACAAGGCACTTGGCTGCATTAGAAAAATAAAGAGCTGGTGTTGTTTCGTTTTTTACTATTCTTTGGGGAAGAACAAAATATATCTTTAGCCTTCGCTGGCAGTTCAGTTGTTGGTGGTTGTGCATAGCAAAATTTGTAAATAAGATAATTTATGCTCTTTTTCAACTCTCAAGAGGTGCTTAAAATGTCAACGGGAGTAGACCACATCCAAATCAAGACAGACAAGTGAACGCTCATCCACACTCCCAACAACGACAGGTTGTGACTTGTATGGCAAACAGCCCTATCTGCGCTAGGAGTTTTTTTTATAGGTTTTATATCACTATAATGCTCATGGCTTCTTCCTAAATATCCTGGGAGTTGCATTTCGGAGAGCATACCCACAATTTCTTTATTACAATTCCAAGTGTTTCCTCTTTCAGAACTACAGCTTCTAGATGTTGTGGGCAGGAGAAATTGGCTTCTGATTCAAGTCAGTGATGTGTGTAGCCCTCTGGGTTATTACAAATGCACCACTCCTCCATTCTGCTGTATTGTTGAAGCCCAGTCATTCTTCATCAGCAGTTTCTGGAGATGCTACCGACTATTTAGGCAACAAATTGCTTTTGTAGAGATTTATTGCAGGATGGCGCAATTGTACGCCTGCCCTTTCGTAAGTAATTCTGATCAATGGAGCTTATTCCAATTTAACTGTGCATAGAATTTCATTCTAGATTTTGGATCACCAATTCACGCTCTATTTCTCAGGGATTAGCTACATGGTTGACAGCAAGATCTCGGCAGCTCTACTCTTGTGTGGGCTTTGTGAAACCAATTTGTGCTTGGTGCATAAATAGCAAAATCAAAAATACTGGATTAAAAGAAGTGCGGATTACGAGACAGAGAAGGCATTTAAAGTGAAAATACACAGGGTAGGCCAAGAGAATTACCCAGATAAGGATTCTTTGCTAGATATACGAAAGAAACCAGCTGGAGTTTTAAAAATTAAGGGGAAATACACATGACAAACCAAAAGAATGACCTGGATAATGTATTTTTATTAGATTTAGAAAAAAAAGAGGCCTATGCGATAAGTCAGAAGAATTGAAGAGAAAGTAAATCCTACAACAGTATTTTAAGGAATTAAAGATGATGTTTTTTCAGAAGTAAAAGGAAGGAATATAAAGATGGTTTATTTGATCGATCACTTAAATATGAGCAAGCATATTTGAGGGGCTGCCACAAAGTAGAGGGGTTCAACTTATTCTTCAAAGCACCTGAGGGCAGGAGAAGAAGTAACAGATAGAAGCTTATCAAAGAGAGATCCAACCTAGAAATAAGGAGAAATTTCCTGACAGTTAGAACAATGGAATGAATTGCCTTCTGAAGTTATGGGTGCTCCATCACTGGAGGTTTTTAAGAAGATATTGGATAGCTGTTTATCTGAAATGGTATGGGGCCGTGATGGTGAACCTATGGCACGCATGCCACAGGTGGCACTCAGAGCCATATCAGTGGGCACGGGTGTGTTGCCCTAGCTCAGCTAATTTTGGGGCCTTCCGGGCCCACTGGAAGGCTATTTCCGGCCTCTGGAGGGCCTCCGGGGGGGCATTTTCGCCCTCCCCAGGCTCCTAGAAAGGCTCTGGAGGCTGGGGAGAGCAAAGAATGGGTCTTCCAGTCCCACCGGAAGTCGGCAAACAGGCCATTTCCGGCCACTGGAGGGCCTCCGGGGGGATGGGGAAGGCTATTTTCACCCTCCCCAGGCGAAAAATGGGCCTACTGGGCCCACCATGCCATCGCGTGCCAAAAGCGGGGGGAGTGCAGGGGTGTCACGCGTGCCTGTGTGGGGGGAGCGGGGTGCACTGAATTATGGGTGTGGGCACATGTGAGTGTGACCCCCCCTGCCCTCCCCCGCTTTTGGCACACGATGGCAGAAAGGTTAGCCATCACTGGTATAGGGTCTCCTGCTTGAGCAGGGGGTTGGACTAGAAGACCTCCAAAGTCCCTTCCAACTCTGTTAATTCTGTTAGCCCTGCAGATGGTTGGTATTGTGAAAGTGTCCTCTTCACCTTTTTTAACTTTTTACATTTGAATGCTGTTACCCCTGTCTTTTCGTTCTGTTTTTGACTTCATTCTTGTTTATACAGTTGATGTTTTCATCATAAGCCTCCCAGAGTCACTTACAGTAAGATGGGCAGTATTGAAATCAATAGATAAATAAATAATTGATAAAACAAATTTAGCCTATATCGTGTGATTTTTATTACAGTTCCAATGAATTGCGCACAGCCCAACCTGTGAGAATAATCACAGTCAGATGAAGCAGAAACATTTGCTATTTGAGATAGATATGCTCTATGTTAGGCCTCACATTTACTGAAAATATTTCTGTGTTTTTCTTTCCCTTACAGGGCTCATAACCACAACTTCAAGAAAGCTAGATCGTGAACAGCAGGCAGAACACTTTCTTGAGGTAAGATTTAGATGATGAAAGGACAAACTTGCTCATAGATTTTGCACAAATGAGCCGTTCAACTATGGAGATTCTCAGTCATCCAGGTCATGGTTGTCCCAAAGGTGCTTTTTCAAAAGGCAATTGGACTTTGTTTTTCCTTGAAGACGTTTCGCTTCTCATCCAAGAAGCTTCTTCAATTCTGATGGAATGGTGGAGGATGGAAGGATTTGTATTCCTAGCATCTTCTAGTCCAGGGGTCAGCAACCTGTGGCTCTGGAGCCGCATGTGGCTCTTTCACCCCTCTGGTGCAGCTCCCTGTCACTCAAAATATGTGTCACAACTGCCAATGTGCGACACCCCCCGGCATGCAATTTATTGAGCTTTTCAACCACCGGTAGGCCAACCATGGATAAATCCAAGAAAAGAAAAGTTTCAGAAGAAAACAGAATGTTTAATTCAACTACATATGCTAGTTTTGTGGCCGCTCAAGAAATAGTCAGGCACAGGAAGGGTTTTGTGGCTCCCGGTGTTTTCTTTTCTGTGGGAAACGAAATGGCTCTTTGAGTGTTTAAGGTTGCAGACCCCTGTTATAGTCCAGTGACCAGATGGCCGCAAGAAATATAAATCCTTCCATCCTCCACCATTCAGTCAGAACTGAAGAAGCTTCTTGAATGAGAAGCGAAACATCCTCAAGGAAAAACAAAAAATCCAGTTGCCTTTTCTTTCTTCTGTTCACTATCCTTCTTCAATTCCCTAAGCATACTTGTGTATTTCAGGTGAGGACTTCTGAGCAAAAGTGGAAGCTCAGAACTATACCACACTTCAGAAGATCCTATTGTTCCTTCATATTCTTAGGAGAAACTAGCGTCATGGGAAATCTCTATTTTTTTCCATTGTTCTTTTGCCATCATGGGTGGAGATTGTATTTCACCTCAGTCTTGCTTCAGCCAGGCAATTAAGTGTTCCAAATCAGACAAAGGATTATTTTATTTTCCCTGAAATAAGACCGGGTCTTATATTAATTTTTGCTCCAAAAGACGCATTATGTCTTATTTTCTGGCTAGGTCTTATTTTGGGGAAAATACAGTACTAAACACCTCCGTCTACTGACGATCTTAACCGGGACTTATTTTTAGGGTAGGGCTTATATTATGAGCATCCTGAAAAATCATACTAGGGCTTATTTTCCAGTTGGGTCTTATTATATAGCCGACCTGAGTTTCCGGAGAAAGGCGGCATATAAATTGAACTAATAATAATAATAATTTTCAAGGAAACAGAGTAGAAAATGGCTATCAAATAGAGCTAGATACAGATTAGGAGTTGCTTTATGGCAGAGCTGTCAAACTCGCAGCCCACGGGTTGGATGTGTCGTGTGCTCACCACACCCAGTTTAGCAAAGGGGGGGGGAATTCCTGATACATCATGTGAGGACGCCATGACGACACGAGTTTAACAGCCCTGCTTTATGGTTTGACCTCAGCTTGGTATTCTGAGTCCTCTTTCATTCTACCTGGAGAGAGGGTGGGAGAGGGAGAGAGAAAAAGAGAGGTGGGCAGAGGTGTTATTCACTTACCTTCGCTACCGGTTTACAAATGTCAGCGCATATGCCACCTCCGCGCATGCGCAGAGCCTTCCACGCATCCGCAGAGCGGATATTATTTAATGATAGGGTGAGCAAATTAACATCCTGTCTTTCCAACTCTTTGTACTTTTCCTGAGTTAAATCCCAAGGGTGGAAGTCATTCGAGAATAGATCTCCTTGGGCTTTTTCAATAGGGTGTCTGTCAGGTTTCAATATCGTCTTCAAATAAAATAAATTGCATTTCCAAACAGATAGTCTTTGAAGAAATCTTTCATTTTATTAAGCACGACAATCTGGCCCCGATCATGGCGTAGCCAGCTCTGGCTTCCTGACCCCAAACCCTCCTTTTCTGTTCCCCAAATCTCTGCGTCTCATTGGCCTTCTTCCAAATCACTCTCCCCATATCTACTACCTAAGCTCCCAGGAATGCCCCCCCCCCCCTCTCATCTCTTAGGGGATATTATCTTCAATGAAAATAAGTAGGTGAAGTGTCAAGCATCCTCTTGCCAGCTGGCCCCTCTTCTCCTTCTTATGTCAGCACTAGAGTAAATGCAGGTTGAAGTGCTGACAGTGTCCTTCAACAATTTTTGGAGAATTGTATCTTCAGCCCATGACATTAAGGACACCGTTTATCTCATTTCTTTTTTTCCACAAATTGGCTGAAGAATTTCAAAACGGCATATTTGCCCAGCTCTACAATCCAACCTGTCTTCTCTTTCCTGATATTGCTTCAGGTCTTTTGAGACTAGAAATCAAAAGATGGACTGATGCATAGATACAAATATGGAGGCTAGGGGTGGCCTTCAAAAATATTAGCAAGGGCTGCTCTGCCCAGTTGCTGGGTGGGCGTGGCCATAGTGGGCATGACCTAGTTGGCTTCCTGCACCACGGTGGGGGGGGAGGTGTTGCCCTCCCCAGGCTCCAGAGGCTTTTCTTGAGCCTCCGGGAGGGCAAAAACAGCTCCCCAGGTTCCAGAGACCGTCTGAAGGCTAGAAATGGGTCGGTTTCCGGCCTTCCCGAACTTCCGGTAGGCCCGTTTTTCACCCTCCCTGAGCCCCCACGGACACCCTGCAGTTACCTGCATCCAAAATGGGTCGTGTGGGGACTCCTGGGAGAGCGGGGCAGGGTGGGTGGGGCCAATCAGGAGTGGGATTTGGGGGTTCTCCAAACTGCATAGAATCTTAGCTAGAGGTTCTCCCGAACCCCTGCGAACCTCCAGCAGCCCACCCCTGATGGAGGCCCAGGTTAATGTTATCTCTTCCCTCTGCCCAGGCAGACCTGCTTAAAACATTCAACACCTTTGTCCCAAACAACAAAACTGTTAACAGTTTAGCCCTAAATTGTCTGAAGGATTAGGCTTTCTTTTATGACATTTGCAAAGTAGTTTCTGAAATGTTTGGCTCTTACCATGTTTAATTAACCTCCTGGGGGAGACTTTAATTGTCAGTATTACCATGGTCTCCCTGTTTTACCATTAAATCTTTCCGGATTTTTTTATTTTTTTTTCATATTCTTCCTCCCTGATTGGCATTGAAAGAAAATAAAATTGGCTCCTTTTGAAAAGATATCTAATTGCTGGTGGAGTTAAAAGCTTCCCTTCCCCGTTCCCATGGTGTGAGAATGTATGGGTGTTGATGGGCCCTGATATGGACAGAAACTTAAATTGTTTCGACTTGTTCTGAATTTGACAGTGATGTAATACCCTTAAAGTCGCTCATAAAAATTTGCCCAAAGCTGAAATAAATGGAAAGAACTGAAAGCAAAATTTGAGATCTCTAAAAAGAATAAACATATTCACTTGGTGAGATTTGTGTTTTTGGTTTTATTGTTCATTATGATGATGGGAAGGGGTATTTAAGATAAATGTCTCCGAGTAGTAGGAGCTGCTAACTGTATCTGTGTTGTTGTTTGATGCTCCAGAGTATATATTCCTTCTTTATATTCCAATATATATCATCTCTGTACTTATCGTATTTTTTGGAGTATAAGATGCTCCAGAGTATAAGATGCACCTTAGTTTTGGGAGAGGAAAATAAAAAATTCTGCCTCTGCCTACCGGCATCCAGGGTATTCATCTGGCTAGCATCCTGTCAGTATGTGAGACTGTTTCGAAACTAAAACAGTATTTGCTGTGTGAGCAGCAAGGAAGGAGACAGCAAGGAGCCTGGGCGTCGCTTAGGTCAATTGTTCTAAAACTGCATGCTGTGTGATCTCTGAAACTAAAACCAAAACTGAAACTCCTCTCCTCTGCTTGTGTTTTGCTTGCTATTGCAAACTCTGACAGTCCTTGCAGCAAATAGTGAACAGCCAGGTCAGCTTCAACACATTATTGCAGCCTGATTCAGCATGAGCAGCTGATTGGCAGCTGGATCAGCCTCCCGGAATACCCCAATCAGCTGTTCCAGGCTGAAGGGATTGCCGTAGACCATCACCTCCTCTGTGCCTCGCATTTTCAGCTACATTCGGTGTATAAGACGCACCCAAATTTTCACCCTCTCTTGGGGGGGGGGAGTGTGTCTTATACTCCGAAAAATATGGTATCTATATGCTACTAGAACTCTTGTCATGACCTTTAACTGGTGCATCATCAGGCAACGTTTTTTTGAATCAAAGTACCTCAAATAGACTAACTTACAAATTGCATCCAAAATCCAGGACCCATAACTCCGGTGGAATTGAAATTTGGCAAATGTTATAAAATAAAATTTCCTGTTGTCAACTCTTGATGTTTGACTGTGCTATGTAGTTCAGCATGGGCTGTCGGAAATGACCAGGATGAGCCCGAGGGAGAGGTTAAGCACATCATCAGTTTGGAGTCCCTTGGTGCCCACAGGAGATCGAAGCCCTCTTTGAATTCCGTTGGTTTCTTATCTAATTTGCCAAAACCAATTTGCCTTGACTGTTAGTAGTTCAGATTCTTGTTTAGGGATAGCATGGAATAAATATGTATTCATTTGAACAACCCCGGTTCCTGATTCCTTGCACCTGACATGGGTTACTTTCAAGGCACATATTTCTCTGAATATCTCCCTGAATTTTTTAAAACTTCTTCAGTACGCTATAGGTTCTGCCATTGTTGAAAGCATCACAGAATCTAGCAAGGGCATACATATATCTGAAAAGATGAGCCAAAGGGTCACACAGGTTGTCTTGTTTACAATTAATAATCAGATAATGCTTTCAGAATTGCTAGACCCTAAATAGTTTAGTAGCTTGCATGCCAAGACATGCTTTTGATAGATTAGTAGAACTAGATAAGCATTCAAAAATAATTCCCTATTACAGATTGAATATTTTAGTGATCTCTCAGGAAAAAAATAGATGCATCCGTAATTAGTTGTAGGATATTCTAAACTGATATGTACATTTGTTTAAGAGGTACAAGTCAGGCAGAGTGAAACTATTTCCCTAACTTTAATATGCATATATTCTA